AAAGAGAAGGAAGGAAAAAAGAAAGGCAAGAAAGAGAAAGAAAAAGAGAAGGAGAAAGAAAAAAAGAAACGAAGAAACAAAGATCACAAAAAGAAAGAAAATCTGTCCCAACTGAGTTGCTAGGAAGCATTTCCTACCTGGCGAAATAACCGTCTTTCCTATGCAGGTGAAGCGTTCCGATGCGACGCTGCACGCAATAGTAGTTTGAAGGTATTTGCAGTCAGCACTGATTGTGGCGATAAAATGCCTTGTAATGTACTCGTACAGCCTCCATCCATCACCCCCTGGAAATACACAGAGGTGCTGCTGTTATAACAGACCTCAGGTGGAGAGTCAACAGCCCCCAGGTCTGGAGGTGGCTGATGAGGAAGAGGAGGAACAGCTGGGTGCAGTGCCTGACGCACGGATGAACCGAAGGCAGAGAGGAGAGGAGAGCAGTGGAAATCTATGGGCCGGTCCTCGGGACAGACCTCAGATGGAGAGTCAAGAGCCCCCAGGTCTGGAGGTGGCTGATGAGGAAGAGGAGGAACAGCTGGGTGCAGTGCCTGACGCACGGATGCACAGAAGGCAGAGAGGAGAGGAGAGCAGTGGAAATCTATGGGCCGGTCCTCGGGAAGGAACAGCCACCGCTACTAGCGAAGACTCACCCCAGCTCTAGCGATAAAAGGCAAGGGACGGAGATAAATAGGCAGAGAAATATTCCTTTTCCGGTCGGACAGACCCGTTAACCTGCGCGAGAACCTTTTTTGCCCGAGGCTGCCAGCCATCCTAATAAAGGGATCTTTTGAGTTCACGTCAAGAGGATTTGCAAACGTGGATAACCACTCACCTAATTCTGCTTCAGAGGCAGCTCTCATTGGGGTGATGGGGGGGTGATCTCCAGCGTCGTGGCCTTTCCGTGGCCTGTTGATGCCTTCCACTAACAACGCTTTGACCTTAGGAGAAAACCACAGACAGAGCCTGCATGAGCCAGGGGCCGCCTCTGGCTGAACCAAAAAGTGGATTGGAGCAGACGAAAGTTAACGACAGATAATAACTCGCCTGACGACCGGAACGGAGCCCAAAATTTCTGTTGTTAAACGAGACAGTTGCTGAGTCATTTTTACCCCATTTTACCACCTTCCCTTGTCACAGTTGTTAAGAGAATCACTGCAGTTAACAACGTGACCCCGGGACATTGCAACCATCATAAATATGAGCCAGCTGCCAAGAATTTAATCACGTGACCAGGGAATGCTGCAACGGTCGTTAAGTGAGAAAAATGGTCATAAATCACTTGTTTCAGTTCCATTGTAACTTTAAATGGTGACTAAACAAATAACGGAACAGAACAGGGCAACAGAGTTGGAAGGGACCTTGGAGGTCTTCTAGTCCAACCCCCTACCTAGGCAGGAAACCCTACACCACTTCAGACAAATGGTTATCCAATCTCTTCTTAAAAACCTCCAGTGATGGAGCAGCCACAACTTCTAGCGATTCCACTGGTTAATTGTTCTCACGGTCAGGAAATTCCTCCTTAGTTCTAGGTTGCTTCTCACCTTGATTAGTTTCCATCCTTTGCTGCTTCTTGTCCTGCTTTCAGGTGCTTTGGAGAATAGCTTGACTCCCTCTTCTTTGGGGCAGTCCTTGAGATATTGGAAGACTGCTATCATGTCCTCCCTAGTCCTTCTTTTCATCAAACTAGACATACCCAATTCCAGCGACCGTTCTTTAAATATTTTAGCCTCCGGTCCCCTCATCATCCTGGTTGCTCTTCTCTGCACTCTTTCCAGAAGTTTTCAACATCCTTTTTATATCGTGGCAACCAAATGGATGCAATATTACAACTATGGTCTTAACCAAAGCATTTGAAAAGTGTTATTGACATTTGACACTTACTTGGGAGTGGACCTACTACCTAGGGTAGCTGTGCAAGGCCGTTTTGCCTGGTTTGATTATTCATGATTAGGGGGCTGGAGACTAACTAAACATATGACAACAGTGACGGGAATAAGGTATGCGTAGTCTAATGAAAAGAAGGACTAGGGGAGACATGATTGCAGTTTTCCTAAAAGTTGGCCCGACGTGCAGTCAATGTGACCACAGAGAGGTGAAAATCCGAAATTTGAATGCAGATTGCAAGTACCCCCTAGGTCAGGGGTCGCCAACGTTTTGGACCTCAGGGACCACCAAATTCATAATTTTAAATCCCGCGGACCAGAGACCCTGGGAAAAACCCCCAAAAAGCCTGCAGGAAAATTCCCCACCCCATTTTCCTACCGATCGATCATTCTTTATTTGGGATCACAGGATACCGTCTCCAGCTCCGTTCTCCGGGGGAGAGGGAGAGAGACTTTTGGCTTCATGCAAGGAAAGCAGCAGAAGTCTTTCTTTCTCTCCCCCAAACTCCACCAGAAATGAGTCTTTGCTGGTCGCACCGGTGCAGCCTCTTGGAGCAGGAGGCCTTGCAGGGTCCCAAAGACTCATTTCTGGCGGAGTTTGGGGGAGAGAAAGAAAGACTTTTGCTGCTTTCCTGTGTGCAGCCAAAAGCAGAAGAAGGAAGAAGTGGAAAGAAGCAGCCCGCTGGCCAAGTGAGGCAAGTGGGGGCAAGTTCCACCCTTTCCCCTCTCCCCTCACTACCTCTTGTTTGCAATGCAAGTGACGCAAGCCTTGTGTTCCCGCGCAGCCTGGATTAATTGCTTTGGGGGGGGGGGGGGTTGGCATTTCTCTGCAGACCACCAAAATTTTCTCGCGGACCCCCAGCCCCAGCCCACTGGTTGGCGACCACTGCCCTAGATTAAGTCTGTTGGAATTGCAAACGATCACCGATCGAACACTCATAAGCCGAGGACTCCCGGTGAATGTAGGTCTGCCTTGATTTTGAAGCGTCTTTTCGCAACGAGGTGAATGCCAATTTGGACTTACGTTTTCAGCCCAGTAAGGATTATTCGCTTGTTGTCGCAAAGGCCCTTTCAAATCGAAATTTTCAGGATAGTGGGTCGTTTCTGTTCGAGGGTAGCTAATGTAGCCCTGGGTATAGAGCCGTTCAGCGATCTGCATCGTATGCTGCGGTCCCATTCCTACAGAAAAAAAAAACAGGGTTTTTTTTTGGGGGGGAAAGGGTTGCAAATCCATAGTCACCACATCGCACAAAAGATACTTCGGAAGAAGTTCAGAGAAGAGCAACTACAATGATGAAGGGACTTAAAAACATACACGCACGGTTGCAGGAATTGGGTATGGCCAATTCCTGCAACCAATTCCTGTATGGCCAGAAAAGAAGGACTACAGGGTGACATGATAGCAGTATTTGAGGGGTTGCTACAAAGAAGAGGGAGTCAAGCTATTCTCCAAAGCACCTGAAGGCAGGACAAGAAGCAACGGATGGAAACTAATCAAGGAGAGAAGCAACTTAGAACTAAGGAGAAATTTCCTGAGAGTTAAAACAATTATTCAGTGGAACAGGCTGTCTTCAGAAGTTGTGGCTACTCCATCACAGGAGGCTTTTAAAAAGAGACGGGACAGCCACTTGTCTGGAATGATATAGGGTTTCCTGCCTAAGCAGGGGGGTTGGACTAGAAGACCTCCAAGGTCCCTTCCAGCTCTATTCTGGTTGATTATCAAGAGCTGTGGTGGCGCAGTGGTTAAAATGCAGAATTGCAGGATGACTCTGCCCACTGCCAGCAGTTCGATCCTGGCCGGCTCAAGGTTGGCTCAGCCTTGCATCCTTCCAAGGCCCCAGATTGTTGGGGCCAAGAGGCTGAACCTGTAAATCATTTAGAGAGGGCTGTGAAGCACTGTGAAGCAGCATATAAATCTAAGGGCTAGTGCTATTATTTTTTAAAAGAAAGGAATACTGCCATATTTACCCAACGCAGCGCTGGCAACCCGCAACATTTCCACCGTATTAAGAGCGAGGGGTCGTTGTTTCACTTTCTCCTTTTTACTCACAGATTCTACCTGCAAAAAAAAAAAAAAAAAAGGATGTTCTTTAGCCACTTTATCCAGATAAATCAAGTTCTAGGAAAAATTATTTAAATGTCATTCTCTCCAATTTTACATCAGCAAGAGGAAGGTAGCAAACTATGCATTGCTATCCAGGGAGTCCTGGACTTACAACCATGACTGAGCCCAAAACTTCTGTTGCTAAGCTAGACCGTCATTAAGTGGATTTTGCCCCCTTTTATGACCTTTTCTGCCACCGTTATTAAGTGACTCATTGGAGGGGTTAAGTTAGGAACGTGGTTGTGAAATTAACCTGGCTGCCCCATTGACGTTGCTTGTCAAAAGGTCACAGATCATAGAATAACAGAGTTGGATGGGACCTTAGAGGTCATCTAGTCCAACCTCCTGCTCAAATATTAGCCACTACCTAGGATCGAACTCACAGCCTCCTGATTGTGAGGTGAGAGCTCCATCTCTAGGCCACCAGAGGTCATAAAAAGGTAACACGTAGATCGATTGCCAGGCATCCAAATTTTGTTCCCGTGACCATGGAGATGCTACAAAGGTCGTTAAGTGTGAAAAGCGGTCATAAGTCACTTTTTTCAGTGACATCATAACTTTGAACGGTCACTAAATGAACTAATGTAAGTCAAGGACTTCCTGTATACCTATTTAGATTCAATGCTTTAAAGCATCAAATGTAAACAACAATATTATGACAAGGCACAAGGTAGATTAAATTTATCACTGAAAGGAACACAAATTATTTTACAGATAACAGATAATCAGAATTGGAAAGGACCTTGTAGGTCATCTAGTCCAACCCCCCGCCCAAGCAGGAGACCGTACACCATTTCTGACAGATGGCAGTTCAATCTCTTCTTGAAAGCCTCCAGTGATGAAGCTCCCACAACTTCTGGAGGCAACCTCTGTTCCATAGGTTGATTGTTCTCACTGTCAGAAAATTCCTCCTTATTTCCAGGTTAAATTTCTCCTTGGTCAGTTTCCATCCATTGATCCTTGTCTGGCCTTCAGGTGCTTTGGAGAATAGCTTGACCCCCTTCCTCCTCTCTGTGGCAGCCCCTCAAATATTGGAATACTGCTATCATGTCTCCCCTGGTCCTTTCTCTTCCCTAGACTAGCCATGCCCAGTTCCTGCAACCGTTCATCGTATGTTTTAGTCTCCAGTCCTCTAATCATCCTGGTTGCTCTTCTCTGCACTTTTTCTAGAGTCTCAACCTCTTTTTTATCGTGTGGTGACCAACACTGGATGCAGTATTCTAGGTGTGGCCTTTCTAAGACAACGCTAACGTAGTCTTACCTTGGCTTCCTTTGCCATTTTTGTTAGGTTCAAAAACATCTGAGCAATTTCTCGGTCAAAGATCCTCACTCTGTCCCACTCCAGGGTCAAACAACTGTCTTTTTCAGGAATAACCTGATAAGAATAAAATATTTAGAAAAAACAAAATACCAAGTGCATCTCAAGTTCTTCCGTCAGGATTTGCAGAGATATTCTCGTTTGAGCTACATCCCAACGGTCCTCGACCTTACAACTCCAATGGAGGCCCAACATTTCTGTCCTTAAGTGAAACGTTTGGGAAGTGAGTTTCGCCCCATTTTACCAACTTTCTTGCCCCGTTCATTAAGTGAATCACGGCCGTTCTTTCTCTGCCCCAAAATCCGCCAGAAATGAGTCTTTGGGTCCCTGCAAGGCATCCTGCTCCAAGAGGCTGCGCCGGCAAAGACTCGTTTCTGGCGGAGTTTGGGGGAAGAGAAAGAAAGACTTCTGCGACTTCTGCTGCTTTCTTTGCATGAAGCTAAAAGTCTCTCCCTCCCTCTCTCTCTGTCTCCCCCTGAGAACGAAGCTGGAGATGGTATCCTGCAATCCCAAATAAAGAATGATCAGTCGGTAGGAAAATGGGGTGGGGGATTTTCCTGCAGACTTTTTGGGGGGTTTTCCCAGGGTCTCTGGTCTGCGGGATTTAAAATTATGAGTTTGGTGGCCCCTGAGGTCCAAAAGGTTGGCAAACCCCTGTTCTAGTCCAGCCCCAAGCAGGCACAAATTACCTTGGCTTGCAACACCCAGTAGGTTTCAGGTTTGAACGACTGGATTTTATCATGGCGCTCCACACAAAACCCCAGCGTGGGCGTCTGACAAGGTCCAAAGGAGATCAGCGAACTGTCTAAATTGCCGTATTTACCCTGGAAATATTTTGTCTGAAACCTGTAGGAATAAATAGAGAACGGAAAAGAAAATAAGAGGAACAATATGCAACAGCTGCCCAAAGAAGCCAACACAGTCCAAGGTTGAATCATCGGAGGGATTAGAATCAAGATCTCATTAAGTTGTAGTACTGCTTTATAAAGCCTTAGTAAGACCACCCTCGGAATACTTCACCCAGTTCTGGTCACTACACCTTCAAAAAGATGTTGAGATCTCTAGAAAAGGGTGCAGAGAACAAAGATGATTAGGGGACTGGAGGCTAAAACCTACGAAGAGCGGTTGCAGGAACTGGGCACATTTAATTTAGTTGAAAAAAGGACTAGAGCAGAGGTGGGTATTCAGCAGGTTCTGGCCAGTTCTGGAGAACCAGTAGCGGAAATTTTGAGTAGTTCGGAGAACCGGCCAATGCCGCCTCTGACCGGCCCTTGCCAACCCCATCTTTTCTCTGCCTCCCATTGAGTTCCAGCTGATCAGCTGGGTCTTTCGTGGTTGCTCTGCACAGGAGAACGGAGCTGGAAAGCAGGTTACTGGGGTGGGAAGGGAAGGGGGATTTCGCAGTAACCTTACCCCCCCCCGCCCCCAGGAGTGGGGAAGGAATGGAGATTTTGTGGTTTCCTTCCTCTGCCGTGCCCTTCAAGCCACGCCCACAGAACTGGTAGTAAAAAATTTTGAATCCGACCACTGGCACTAGAGGGGATATGATAGCAGTCTTCCAATATCTCAGGGGCTGCCCCAAAGAAGAGGGAGTCAAGCTATTCTCCAAAGCACCTGAAGGCAGGACAAGAAGCAACGGGTGGAAATTAACCAAGGAGTGAAGCAACCTTGAACTAAGGAAAAATTTCTGACAGTCAGAACAATTAGCCAGTGGAATGACTTGCCTCTAGAAGTTGTCAATTCTCCAACACTGGAGGCTTTTAAGAAGAGACTGGACACCTATCTGAAATGGTATTGGGTCCCCCTGTTTGGAGCAGGGGGCTGGACTTGAAGACCTC